GAAGAGCAAAAAAAAAAGGAAATACACTAAAATAACAAAACAAGTATATATACTTGTAACGAGGGAAGGGTTATCGTGTAAATAAATAGCGAGGGACAGTTAAAATAAAATATCCCCCAACAGATTCAGAGACCTTATAAATTCTTTCTGCCGGCAGAGAGAAGGTTTTCTAAATCCTATACAGACCGATTCCAAAATCTTCAAATGATTATTGGAATCGGCTGTATGAATAATTCTAAACCACTCTTTTTTATACAACTTGGCACAAGCTATATTCTCAACTAAATGTTGAGCAATAGCCGATTCCATATTCATGGGGGGAAGATAGCATATTCTATCTATCTTACCAAGTCGTATTTTGGAAGGAACGTGCTGATTAATTCTAGTTTCCAAATGCAAGGTTGTACGCCCCACATAACCAGCAGCACACTGGCAATTAAATTCATATACTAAATTACTCAATTTGATGTAGGGCAATACATGTACCCTTCCCTCGTTACAAGTATATATACTTGTTTGTTATTTTAGTGTGTTTCCCCCTCTTTTTTTTGCTCTTCAATATCGCTATTATTCATTTCGCTAATCCAACGATTGTCTCCTGATGAGATGTTATTGAAAGGGGCTCTAGAGACTTTTAATATTAAAATCAATGGTTTCCTAGTTTTTAAAACTATATATATATATATATATATATATATATATATATATATATTATTTAAAGAAAAACACACAACTTTAAGGCTCCATTTGTAATAATTTATCTCACCAGAGAATTTTATTTTTCTCTGGATCTTCAGACTTCACTTTCAAAAGGTGAAACGAAAAATGAATTTAAAATTTACACTTTTGACGGGCAGTAATATATAATATGCAGTTGGCATAGAGGGTGGTGAGGAGTTGTATGAGAGACGTGGTAGAGTTTAGAGAGGGAAGGGAGCGTTTTAAAATTTATTTTTATATTTCTTTTTATTATAATTCTTTATATAGAGGAAGGAGCGGATAAGGATCAGACGTTGATCTATTTAATCGGTCAACTCAACGGAAATGATATGGGAAAAGGAAAATGAGAAAAAAAGGGAAAAAGAAAAATATAAAAGGAAAAATTCTGTTATATTTTTAAACGCAATCCTCAAAGCATAACTTAAAGATTGTGTCTAAGCATGACACATACCGTCACCGCTCGGCGTTGACCTCACTGTCCACTTATATACTTATATTTGCATACGCACCACTAGCCCTTAAGTATACCATATATGATCACGTTAACCCCTAAATATTGTACACATTAACACTATATATATATATATATATATATATATATATATATATAGGGCCTGATTATGACCTTTTTTGGGACCACTAGGCTAATGAAATTACCCCTCCACAAATGTGATGCCACTCTCTAACCGGCCCACACGTCTTGAATATTTTTTACTTGTCATATATTTTATCGACATTTATACAGTTTGAATAATCTTATACTGCAAATTCTTTAAATAAACTAGAGCGTCTACCTTCTGTTTTTCAATAAAATATATTCTGTAAGAAATACCACTATTTTGCTATTTATTGCATACTAAATTAGCACATATTTCAACAGAATTGTAGCAATAAATAAAAAAAAAGATTTATTATGACTAGGAATATTACAATAAAACAACCAAAATAAATATGAATTTGTTGTTTTGGTATCATTTCAGTTTATGAAACTATTAAAAAGTTACAATCAAGAAATAAGGATCACTGGTTTATAAAAATTTCTAAGATTTAATATTCGTTGTCTTCCTTTGTCCCTGTTGCCCTTTAAGTGTCCCGTGAGTATCAGATTTTCCAAGCCCTCCTTCCTCATTATTTGTCATAGAAACTTCAGGTGTCTCTTCCTGATGTTAAGTATTAGTTTGCTTTTTTTTTCCATTTTCTCCAAAACTTCGTCATCACTCACAAGTTCGGTCCAGGGTATCCTCAGCATCCTTCTGTAGAACCAGATTTTTGTTGCATCATATCACCTCTCCATCTATGAGGAAGTCGTCCAAAACTCACTGCCATACAGGAAGATAGGTATAGCATAGCTGTTTAGTACTCTGTTTCCAGCGAAATTTTCCTATTTCTCAGTACACTGCTTAGCATTTGGCATGATTCCTTGCCTATCTGTATACGCCTTCGGATTTCAGTGTCACTCTTTCCTTCATCTGTTAAAATAATTGCCAAATATTTAAATTTCCACTCTTGTTTGATTTTGGTATATCCGATTTGCAAGTTACACTTTGGGTTCATCCTGTTGCTAACAATCATGTATTCTGTCTTCTTGCAATAGATGCTTAATCCTTTCTTCTTCCTTTCTGTAATTACATTCTGTAAGAGTTTTTGTATCTCTCTTTCTGTGTCTATTGTCAATACTGTGACATCTGCGTACCTTATGTTGTTAATATTGTGGCCGCCAATAATGAATCATGGTAGGACACCTAGTTCTCTCAGAATCGCTTCGTTGTATATGTTCTATAATTCTTGTGAGAACACATATTCTTGTCTTACACTCCTTTCTATTTTTGCATATCTGCTAAATTCATTTTCTATCCGTATGCAGGAATGCGTTTTTTATTCTAAAAATGTCATTTATTTCTGTATTTATTGACGAAACTCCGAGTGAAAATTCAAAGAACGTCGTCCCATTGTCTAGGATATGAAAATAACACATGTCAATGAGAAATTTTATTTTCTTTGGATTGGAAACGTGAAAGAAAACGACGCCTAAACAAAAGAGATATATTATGGGTCTTCCGAAAGTCGAAAAGATTGTATTCAGTTTTGCATTTCAGAAATGCAAACGCATTTTCTGGAATGAATGGCAGGGAGATGGAATCGGTAAAATTTGGCAGGGGGGCCTTGGTACCAATGCCAAAGGACGTAAACAAAAAAAAGAGCCAATCAGAAATGTGGGAAAAAAATTAGTAAACAGATGATTCATCAACACTTGCTTCTCAACCAAAGGGTAAACGAGAAGACCGACCCAGACAGAGGTGATAAAAAAATAAATAATAAGAATGAATAGCATTAGTAATAAAATTATAGGAATAATTATGAGTGTATTGACTCAGAGTGTTGGGATAAAAAACAACAATAATACGATGGAATAAACCTAGTAATAAAATAATATGAATAATGAGTGGTATATTGATAAAGGGTGTTGGGATAAAAAGTAACAATAATAAGATGGAGAAAAACTAGTAATACATTAATAGTAATATAAAACAGTATATCTGGCTATAGGGTTGTAATCAGTATTGTAGCTAAAGGGGTGTGGAGGGGGTAGACCTATCCGTTCGTCATTTTTATGGGGGCGGCACTTTTATACCTGCTGTAGTCTATAACCCTGTATAGTCTGCAATGAAATAAAATTAGTTTAAATGGTTGAACAGGACTCACAGACGAAGGACCATTTCGATTTTGAGTAACTTAGACACTGGCATATATATTGGCCTATCTACTGTTTATAAAACGACAACTGAGAGGGGAAATAGTTTTTGACGATGTCATTGACGATTTTACTAACAAAAAAGAAAGGAAGTTACTTTGTAGAAAGTTGTAAGTTTTCATTACAGAAATAATGATTGTCCCAATTTTTTTACAATTTTCCCCCTAAATGTCGTTTTTGTGTTTTAACTGTTACAAGTAAAGTTTAAGTATGTTGGGTGTGTATTTTAAAACATACTATATTTGAGTATGTGAAAGTAATACTATAATTGTACACAAACTAGTTTTATAACTTAAAAAGTGAATCACTGTACAATACATATTTTTGTCGGGGTCAAGGGTGGCAAACTCAAGGGCTGACCTGGGCGGCATACAGTCTAGATATGTCACTGGTAGGGACATAAAGCATCAATAATATGGTGAAATCAAACTAGTAACAAAATAATAATAATAATGAAGACTGTATTGATTCAGAGGGTTAGGCTAAAATGTATCAATGATAAGGTGGAATTAAAGTAATAATAAAATCATAGTAATAATGAGTGAATTTACAAAAACAGTTGGAAAATTGACAATTATAGGATTGTGCGAAACTACTGAAATGTGTTAGGGTCTTCGGAGAATAACAACAATAACATTGAATAAAACTAGTAATAAAATAATAGTAAAAATGAAGTGTGTATTGAGCCCAAAAGATGGAATAATAAAACAATAACATCAAATATAATTATTAATACACGTTGTCCCAGAAGTCACCTAGGGATTTAAAAATATAGTCATTTAAATATGTTTTTGTTATTTAAAATTATTATAATATTAAATTATTATTATGTAAAATTATTCTAATGTAAAATTATTCTAATGTAAAATGATTCTAATGTAAAATTATTCTAATGTAAAATTATTCTAATGTAAAATTATTCTAATGTAAAATGATTCTAATGTAGAATGAAAATTCAAACATTGGAAATATAATTCCTTTTAATTATGAAAAATAAGCTGATGTAAATCTCCTCCAATTTCGACTTCACATGCTCTTTCAATGTCATTTTTAACCCAGGGTTGATTCGGTCTGGCTGAAGAAAACGAATTTCTCCACGTACGTTATCTTCGAATTGCTGAAATGTGGTAAGAGGACTTGGATAATTTAATAGTCAAGGTAAAATAATAAAAGCATGAGTGTTACAGGGTAAGGGCGAATAGCTCTCTAGGGAGCGTATATAAATGGTTGGCAGAGCAAAAGATTATAAGCTTTTTGATTGATTTGATTTTTACGACTTATCTACCTTTTCAAGGTTATTTAAATCCATAATATATTCTTAGACTGTAAGAATTTTTTTTAGATAATTAGGATTTAATGATATAATTCGTACTAATTAATCCATAGTTGTGGGGAGAAGATGTGACTTAATGTCTTTCCCATGAATCTTTGATCATAAATGAATATAATGAAAGTGACTTGAATTGTAATTCGGCTCCCGATTTTCAATTCTGAACAGTTATCCCTTACACAACCCGCACATCCAAACTTACAGCACCAGGTATTCTCAAGCAGTCACTCATCTAGGTACTGACCAGGCTCGACGATGCTTAACTTCAGTGATCGTACGAGAACTTGTTTGTACGTGATATAACCGTAAGCCAAAGCATTACCTGGTGTTTAAATGGATAGAAGTTGTGGAGAATCATGATCGCACATAAAAGTACACTATTGAAATAACACTCTTCACTGGAAAATGAAAATCCATTGTTTTAACAGGGAACTTAATAAAAATTTGTTGTGGGTGAAATCTTTCGTAAAAGCCTATATTTCTACAAATCCGAAGATTACCTGTTATATGAACTCGACCAGAAAATACCTTAACGAAGTCTTTAATAAACAAAGTTGACCGCGATGGGACTCACACTCAGTAAGAAAAGACCAAAGCAAAAGCGGTTACAAATATATATCGAACAGAGTCCTAAGGGAGACAATAATTAGATGAAGAATTCCAAATTAAGTAATGTATATGACAAGGTTTATTTGGCAATCGTCTTGATTACCAGCTAAGCGAAACATTAGCATAAATTCTTGTCTGGATTCTAATATCTCCTTTTTACATGTTTGTAAAATAATTTTTGATAACTTTCCATTTATCTCTTCAATAAATATATTATGAACATGGTAACGATCATAAACAAAGAATTAACTTGTATGAATAAGGTGGAAGCCAAAAATTTCACTCCACGAAATCTCTTCATTCAAAATGGGTTCAGTTCTAACGATTATTCTCACTTTCTAGTCATTAGGAATTTCAAATACATTTATTTCTTGGTCAGTTAAAACCTGGCTTTTAAATTCGGGATAATCAATGACAGACGGATGTTAAAAATCTTCGACGCTAATTAAATTGACTAAATCGCTCGTAAAATAGGGGATAATGTTTTAGAAGGAATAATTTTTGTCGATTCGCATTCATTAGACCTACTACTACTACTGCTACAAACTACTAAAGTTGCCCATCCCCAAATTCGAAACTGTACACAATTATTAATAACGTTTCAAAATTGACACTTATAATTAAAAACAAAGTTCTAATAATTCTTTTTTGATCAATTTAAGACTGTACACACGCACACAAATATATATATATATATATATATATATATATATATATATATATATATATCGGCAGCCTATTTTCAGAGGGAAATGTTTCGTTGAATAATTTAGACATGTGCTGTCTAATTATTTTTAATTGGAACCATTCATATTCATGGATACGCTTTTTGGTGTCATTATTGAAGGACGAGAGAAAATTGCCGTGTTGATACATATTTCTTTTATTTCCGAGTACTTTCGACATACCACAATGTCATCATCAGGGTATTGTTTATTAGAAGATAAATATTGTAGTGTTCATTAGTGAACACATAAAATTATAATGAATAGTAATAATATATATATATATATATATATATATATATATATAACTTGTTATTTTTAAAATAATACGCTAACACAACCTACTGATATCACTGAGCAGCATTATTGAATAGCAAATATGCTCTTGGTGTTGAAAGTGTGCGACATGCACTCGAAAGAAATCAGCGAATGACAATAGGAAAAACAGATGACCTTAGGATTCTACAGACTCTAGAAAGAATCAACCATTTTGAAAACGCTGTCTGCTTCGTCTTGTACAGGTTTTTTTTTTTGTTAAAAGAAAACGAAAAGTCAGTTGATGGTGATCCCGAAAAAGTTTAGCAAATACATAGACATCCAAATACCGTTAGATTAACGGAAGTTTACACGCGCACCTAAGTTGAGGATAAAATGTCAAAATTAGTTTTTCATTTTTCTTCCATGGATAATAAAACAAGCAAGAGTAAATTTCTTGAATAATTAATCATAAATGACAATTGCAATAAGATTGGCGGATGAAGCTCGATTGTAAACAGTTGTCTGAAATCGCATTGTTTGTGGCTCGATTTATTTAGTTGGGCTGGCAAAATTATTCCATTCTATTTCATGACTACGCATTCTTGACAAAAGCTGTATATTTCTATTGTTTCTTTTAGCCTTCCTTTCATCTGAAGTATTAAATACCCCTTTTCCAATCGTTGAAAACTCGAGTCATCTTCTTAGATAGCCGAGTCTGATCGAGACTTTCATATGGATGCCATGAATGGCGTCATATTCGTTCAAATGTATCTAAGGTGTCAGCTGTATACAACCGATTTCTCAGATCAATATTTAGATAGGACTTGGAGCGAATGAAACCTGTTAGCAAGGATCGTCCTCCTTCAAACCTTGTGGACTGGCGCTATATGATCACAAGAACTGTACCAAATAACCGAAACCACGAAACTTGAGGGCTATAAAAGCACCAACAACTAAAATTGATCTCACATGTAACACGAAGATAAAATAATGGCATAATCAAGATCTTGACGTTATACACTATTTCAAATAAAAGGTTAGGAAGGAAAACCCCATAAGTACTGGAAAAATCGAAAACAGCTTCTGGACTTGTGAAACCTATTTTCCTGAAAAATTCTTTTAAGAGAAAGATTTTTAAATTTTACCCGTGAGTGATACTGGCTGCTCGTTCAATGAATGCTGAATGTTTCCTTATAAGGAAACGGCTAATATTAACATTACCATTTCAGAAAATATCTGATTCCGATAGATAGAAAAGAAACAGTCAGAGTGTTACAATGATGCCGATGTGAAATTTTGTCGCATCTTTAAACAAAATTCATTCTTCATATAAATGTATAGCATCATTACTCGCTTATTCAGGTTTTCTATGGAGGTTCAGCTAAATTGCATATTCAATCATAACAGAACGATACCAATTTTTAATCACGCTATTCTACTAGATCCTTCAAATTTTTCAAATTTGGCAAAAAGTGTCGAATGGAACAAAATACAGGATCAGGTGGAGAGGACGGACATTTTTGAAAGTAATAGCCATTTTAAAAACGTGCGTCCTCTCAGCCTCATCTTGTATTTAACCTTGGAGAACATTCTGCTTCTGAAGGAAATTTCTGTCCCAGCTAGACATAACTGTTTCAGCATCATATTTTCAGCATGGTCATCTCACTCAGGATAGTCACACGTCGATTTTATTTTACCAATAAAACGATTGTTTTCTCTTGAGAAAAACGAGTCGTTCAAACAAGCAAGTTGCTCACTATAGGACACTATCATTTTGTTCCGCTTCCAGCAATGTGTCATGTTTCGTTGAATCCCAACCTAGAAAATAATTAGGTTGAGTTTTTGAAGACAATGCTGAGTTGAGTTTTGATCATCTTGGAGTCTAGCAATAAATCAATTTTTAACGTCAGTGTGCATCACGTCGAAGAATATATTTTTTTTACCCAATACAAGGCCCAAGGGTGTTAATGAGGTTGTTGCGTGGAAGTGCAGATTATGAGGATATGTTGGAAAAATAACAGTAGACTTGAAACGGTTAAGACAGTATGGTTCGGGAAGCTTTCTCTAGACAGTGTTCCGCAAAGATGCAGTTCTCTGGAAAGTAGATTACTGAATGTAACTTCCTGGTTACCAATGGAATACGAAAGGAATGGGGATGATTCGTTCCCGTCTAGGTGGCATGGCGGATCTGAGCTGTAAAGGTCTGAACTGGTGGAACGAATGAATGTCGATCATCAGAACATTTGCCATAGAAGGAGCGATAGAGTAGCGATAGTTTCGACGTTTCGCCTGTGAGGAAAGGGGTTGTAGAGTAGGATATCACTCATCATCTACAAGGACGTATAGATGCTTTCGACCTCTATCAAAGCTGGAAAGTGAGAATTAAGCAGCTTCAACCCAGATCTGTTAGCAATTCATTATTTTTGGTTTGATCTGTCTCTTGTACAGACAGAGCATAACAAGGGAACTTTCTGCAGCGGCTCAAAGAACCGACCATTTTTCCAGCATCTTTAACGATGGCTCATCTATACGAGTTCCACTATGTCTGTGTTGATTATTTACAGGAGAAATAAGTAAAGAAAGCTAAATGTTTACATGCCAAGTCATTATTATTTCCAAAAGCACACATGAAAATCCCTTTTTTTTTAAAAAAAAACTCGAATGTTTCCTAAATTATGAAATCAACGCAGATAACAATCAATATAAACTGACAATTCTATGACTTCGCTAACATTGCACCAAATATAGCATCGTGAACTTTTGCATCGACTTAATATTTTTGCCTATTTCTAATTAAATAAATATTATTTTATTATCTTTTCATTTATAGCGGCATTGAGGATGTGCAGGTGGTTTAATGGTTAGCGTCTGGCAATGAAACATTAATGAGCCAGGCTCGAATGCCGGCCGAGTTCGTTGCGATCACTTTCGCGCAAATTCTCACGAGAAAGGTATGAATCTATCTCTCCTCTCCACCCAGCTATAGACTAAGGTGTAGTGTAGACCTATTGTGCCTTGTTTGGCAACCAGTCTAGAAAAAGGAAAATTCTGAATTCAACACCTGTTGGGTATGGGTCTCGCCACTCCATCTTGTAAAAAACCTACTAACTTCGGAAACCACAGCGTTTTGAGAGCTGAGGTGCCATAGAGCTCACTCTATTTACCAATCTCCCCACAAGAAAAAATGTGACACAAGGTCAATTTTTAACGTGGGGTGTTCCGAGCTCACAGGCTCGGGCGAAAACTGCCTGTAAATTCCGTATACACAGGGTCGAGTGACTACTTTCTCAATGAGTTTTCCCTTTGTAATAGCCTTGTCTGAGTTCCTCTCCGCCCAGAAGCAGAGAGTTCGCTAAGAGAGGAAGAGAAAGCTTCCTCCTCGTCCAAAAAGCCTCCTCCTCGATGCCATACACCTGACCAAGTTCTAAGGGACTTAAAGGAGTATTGCGGCAAATATTCAAATTAATAACTGGATTCTTTTTAATTCATCGACAAGGGATATTTTAGAGCATTTTTCGTTGCCAAAGTGTTAGATTAAGATCCCAGTAGAGATGTAAGAAATCCATACAAAGTAAACGACGCAACAATTTCAAATGCTCAGCTTCAAAACCCGTACACGATTTCATACTAGAATATTAACGCAACGCAAACTTTCAATACTATTTCAGAATGAAGTAAGCATATTCTTTTATTTTCTGTAACTCCTCATGGCTC